CTGGTGAAGCCTCTCACTGCCCCTGAGCCTCTGTCCTGAACCCCAGTTCTGTATGCACAAATAAATAAATAAATAAATATTTGCCCTTTGCCCAGTTGAAGGAGTAACTGAAAACAAAAACAAACAAACAAAAAAAAAATAAAGTTGCTAAGTTTATATAAAGGCCTAGCCCCATATATATACTAACACATAAAATTTCAGAGAAAATGACTGGTAGTCATTTTCAAATGAGAAAACACAGCAGGGATAACTAGAAATTAAAGAAATCTTACAATTAATTAAAGCAAGAACAAAAACAAAGCAAACCCTTTTTTCAATGAAAGTAAGAGACAAAGAAAATCAACACTATTTGAGAAGGTATGCTATTCCCATTTAAAAACGAAAAACAGGGACCTCCCTTGTGGCACAACAGCCCAGCACTGGGAAGCTACTGTAGCATGAGTTCAATCCCCGGGCCAGGGAGCTGACCCACATGGTCCAACAGACCTCTCCCGTCCTGCCCGCTGCTCCCCTCAGCAGTGTATTTTGGTCACTCTACCTGTTGTATTTCCCACTCTGTGTCTGGTGAATGCTCTCACTCTCCCATACCTCAGGGCTGTACCTCAGTTCTCATATGCATAAATAAATAAATATTTTTAAAAGATGTAATATAAATAAGTATGAAAAATATAAACAATTGAGAATTATAGTAAAGTTTATGGAGGCTCCTGATACTATCATTGCAACTTTTCTCAAACCTTGAAATTGTTTCAAAATAAAACTCAAAGGTTATAAGAAATTTATTTAAGAGTTATCAAAGGAAATTAAATCTAAGTGAGGAAAGTTTGATTTGGAATGGGATGTTTATACAGTCACAAAGTATCTACCCACACATGCTTTTCAGTTACAAAAGAAAAATAGTAAGTATGCAATGGAAAAAAGAAACAACATCTTAACCAAAAGGTCAAAATTGACATCAGCAAAAAGTGGCAAACCAGACAGGCTGCTAGATAGGGTCTCTGTGAGGACCACGTCATTTAGGCAATTTTCTAGCCAAAACACAACCTAAATTTAGTCATGAAAAATGACAGAAAAATTAAAACTAGTAAACATCACCTAAAATAAGCAGGATGTAAGCTCCAAACACCACCATTGTACAAGGTAAGGAAAAGCTGTGACAAGCAAGTAATTCCTTACATTACCTGGAACACATTATTCTATTATTTGTCAGATCAATAATATGTGATACAAACATGAGTAAGAAAAAAACCCTGGGACAAGGTGAAAATCTTACAGCATATTATTTAATTGTTCCTATGAGACTCATAACTGAAAAACAAATATGAAAGTCATCAATATTTTAAGTACCTATGAAACAACAAAATCTAGTGTAGAATTTTGCCTGAAGGTAACTAAACTACACTTGCTTCTATTTAAAACACATTTCTATCCTGTGTACATCAGGCTTTTGTATATTAAAATACCCAGGCACCGTGCTCATCTAATTGGATTTATTTCATATTCAAATTTAAATCTGAGTCCTGGGCCTCCCTGGTGGCACAGGGATTAAAGACCACACTATCAAGCTATCCACAGCCACTGCAGCATGAGTCCAATCCCTGGCCAGCGAGGTGACCCACACGGTGTGGCAGACCTCTCCTTGCCACTCGCTGCTCCCCTCAGCAGTTTGTTTCAGTCAATCTGCCTGTCCTGCTCCTCACTGTCTCTGGTGAATCCTCTCACTGCCCCTGCACCTCTGGCCTGGACTCCAGTTCTGTAGTGATAAATAAATATATATACTTTTGAAATCTGAGTCCTCATATATTAATCAACCTCCTAGTTTTTGTTTTTTTTTAAAGATTTATTTATTTGTGCATACAGAACTGGGGTACAGGCCAGAGGCTCAGGGGCGGTAAGAGGCTTCACCAGAGACAGAGCAGGGAGCAGAACAGGCAGATTGACGAAGTACAC